CTTTACTAATGCCTTTGCCCTTACCTACAAGTCCTTCTCTGCCACACATTTATGAATCCTTTCCTATTTCTCCTTTCTCTGAACTCCTGCTGCTTTTATTCTGAATTGTTCATTTAGAAGCCACTAAAATACACTGAGTATATAGTTCTTTGTCTTCTGATTGTAAATTTTATTACCCCAACTATGGCAGTTTTTCAGTACTTTGAGGTTATGGAGCTAGTATTCACTGTACATAGCATACTGATTAGATAATTGTCACTCAACTGTGGATTGGTTAATTGGCTTTTTTGTGTGTCAGCAAAGGGTGATATGGGTTAAGCTTATTCTAGAGGTTTAATATTGTAGCCCCAAGCTCAGAGCTTCCTTTCAGCACTCCTAGCAAGAACCTCCTCATTTTGATATTAATTGCTGCAATAACTTCTTTCCTATAGTTAGGCACCTAGATGAAGGTGTCAGAGTCTCTATTACTACCTCTTCAGTGCCTGTTGCAATGTCAAAGCTAGCTGAAGTTATGAGATACTACTTCCAAATTTTTGTATGAACCAGGAGTTACACATACTGGAAAAATGTGAAGACTTTTATGTAGACCTAGAAGGGCATGAGAGAATAAAGAGCTCTTTTATAAAAAATAGTTACATCCCAGAGATAAGCTCCTGTAATTTACCCCATTTTCTATTGTTTCTTAATGTTAGAATTTTACGCACTTATTTCACGAGTATTAGCTCTATGAAAATTGATCTCTTAAAAGGTTAAATTATCCTTTTAAATTTTGACTATTATTTCACTTTTTGTGACCAGATACTACCTATTGTATTAAGAAACTACCACGGAATCCTTACAAAGAAGAAATTATAGGAAATGGACAGCAACAATATGTTTATCTGAAAGATGGAGATGTAATTAAGACGGAGGGAGCCACACTAAGGTAAGCAAATGTCCCTTAGCCAAGGAAGGCGAGGAGTCTAAATATGTTGTAAAAAGGAGGGGAAAGCAGATTTATGCATATTTGCTTATACTGTGAAGAATACCTCAGAATATACAAAAGAAATCTGGTAACATTGGTTACTCTGAGCGGAAAAAATGGGTTGCCTAAGAAACAGGAAAAGAAAGACTTTATTCTATGTACCCTTTTAAAATTGTCCAGGAGGCTGAGGCAGGAGAATCGATGAAGCTCAGACGTTGGAGACCAACCTGAGCAAAAGTAAAACCCATGTCTACAAAAAATAGAAAAATTTTCAGACTGTACTAATTATGATTCTCCTCTCTTCCCCTATAATCTGTACTTGTTCTCTGATGTTAAAACATCTATGTTTCTCAGTATATAAGACTTCTAAGGAAGGAGCTTTGGGATTTTCAACTGCTTTTTATTCTTCCTCCTGACCACCACAGCTACTCAGGT